TATATATATAAATTAAATACGGGCAATATAGATAGTTGATCTCAAGCCTATTATACCGGTTTGGTATATTTTTTTTTCAAGTTTTTCTACAGGGCGAGCATGATTATACGACTCAATAATTGACATGTCTGGAATAAATAAACTAATAGAATCATTAGTTCGACAGCTTGATAAGGTCAGAATAACTTCAAATAGATTTATCTGTCATTGACTTATGAAAATAAGCGTTAACGATATAAACATTACATTTACAAGTATCAACATAAATCATTTGGGCTTTTATTATTTATAAGTAAAATTTCAAAAACAGCTCGACCGTTAAAGGCATTTTTTTATTGGTTGTGTTTCTCACGTGTGCGCGATCTTATAAAATTTAATATTTAAATATCATAAAATTTTTTTTAAATATAAAACGACGCAATATCCAACAGATATATCAATGTTTTTGACGAAGACTTTCTAATTTTCTTTTTGCGGCACGATATGAGAAATTAATTTATCGCAGACTTCTCGTGACGTATCGCGCTAATATCTTTCACATGAAAAGCCGTTTCTAATCCCATAAATATCGACGAAATGCGATGAGTTATTATATCGCGGATGATGAATATTCATCGCCGATCGTTGCGTCGCGTCGCCGAGTTCGCGAAGACAAAACAGTGGAATGAAATACCACCCGTGTAATGAAACCACGGTATCCGCCCGCATTCCTCTGCATGTTTGTCATTTTCTTCCCTGTCTCGTGGATAACAAACGCAACTTCCGAGAGCGAACGATCGACGCCTGCGGTCGCACCGCCGCCGATACCGCTTCGTGACCGTAAAACAAATCGCCATGCGAAATCGTGCCGCAAAACACCGTCGCGCGCATATTTTTTTTTCCCTCTTTTTCACAGACACATGTCGTTACGTCGGTGCAGGTTCTTTTCTCCTCCCCTCCTCACGATTGACCGCACGTTCGCGAACGGAGATATCTGGCCGGCGTAATCTCGCGTCACGGTCTTACGCACATGTGTGCCGCACTTTGTAGGCGACCTCGTAGAAACGAAGGTGGCGATGCCACCGATGGCGAGTAGCAGCGAGAGCGATGGTTCTCTCTAAAATGACTTCCTTCGCTTCGCGCCTGATGTCTCTCGATATTCGCATTGTCATCAGAATTTCCGCTCGACTGACCATTGTGTTGTAATCGCTAGCCTGATCTTCCATTCCGAAGGTTTCTCCTCGTCATCTCGCACTGCCGCCGGGGGCTCTCAAGAGTTAGCAATATTAGCATCCCGATAGAACGCTTTTCGCCTTCACCTTGCCTCACGCGGCGTGAGTAGCGATGGGACTGTCGCTTACGACGCGACGCTGAATCGAGATTGCATATAATTTCGCATATAAACGACTTTTCTTCCACGTGTTTCGTGCCTTTACGTTTATCATTGCGTGACGACGATAGATATTGCGGGACACGAAAAATTTTCGAGAAAGATGTAATCACTAAGATTGAAGTGGCTTTCGAAGAAACAATTAACGTGTTAATAACGTGAAAATATAATTCTGTGAATTATCACACAATGTCCACTCTGTCTACTCTACTTTTGTGTAGAAATGAAAAGAGGAAACTGATTTTAAAACTATAGTATTCCGTTCGAAAGTTTCTACCACAATTTCCGTATTTAATTGTTTTTATTAACATGTTTAATTGACATTCCATCTCGAACATAACAAGAAGGCAAAAATTAACGTGGCATTACTGGGAAACTTAAAAATCTTAGCATTTATAAGTATTTATATAAAGTTTCTCTTTACAAAACGCGCTTGTCTAATAAATATTGTCGTCAATTTCAATTTATTATGTACATTTTAATCACGTTTTACACATGATTGCGTTTTCTAATATGCTTTGTCAATTTGTATTTATTAATACACTTCTGCGTGACCGGTCTTGAGGTCAATCGAGATCTATTGTTGTTTATTGGATGGCTAATTAAAAGTGAATTATGCTGGAGGCACGCGACCGCGTCTGATAAGAATCAGAAACAAGAAAGCGTATGCGACTTATAAAAAAAAATCGTAAATATAGTGCGTGTTTACCCTCTTTTAATGGACGTTATTAATTAAAAGTGCTGTCAATCTACCGCGTCCCGCGACCGAGCCTACGTCATTAGGTCTGCCTTCCCACACTGTGTGTGCGATACGATCGTTATTCCATATTTCGCCGAATAAATGTTCGCTTCATTGCATCATTGCATCGCGGCTTTCGGTCCATCAATTACGCTTCGTTTGCGGCAATGTGTTATTGCATTTCGATCATAAGATAATAATCCGGCCGCTCGGAATTATATGTCGAAATGATCCACGGCATACATTAGCGAAAAAAAAAAAAGATATTAAATCACTGCACGTCCCGTCGTTAATTTTCTGATATCGATCGTAAAAAGATGATGTCGTAATCGAGGTTTCAGTATATCCTGGCGACCCGATGAGAGTCGTAACTGTAAAAATCGCCGATCTCGAGATTCCCCTGTCCGAATATTATGGGTCTGCGAAATGTACTGTCCTCGCATAATTAGCTCGTTCCGTTCCGATAAACTGCACGCGCAGTGATCGATTTTAAAGTTAAACCACCGAGCGGCCAGCCTTGACATTGCACCGGACGGCGAAAGAAAACCGCGCGAAAAGAGACTCGACGGAAAGCGGCCGTGGCGGCGGTTCACCTTGCCTTTGATATACGGAAATCTCGCAGACGAACGAACCGCGGCGAACGAACTCGGTGTATCCCCGATCGTGTCGACGATCGAGGTAACCTTTATCCGAGCGATTACCTCGAGAGGCAGCTATGTAGCTATCCGTAATTGTGATCGAGGAATGATGTCCTTCGACGATCTTCTCCTCGACGCGTTTGATGCCTGATCGTCGAGAGGTATCGGCCGTAAATCGGCTGTAACGATTTCATCAGCTTTACGTAAGGAAACGATTCGCGAGGAAGAAAGAAATTGGGACCCCACGATTCGTCCCACCCCCCCC